AAGTGTTATCCTAAGCCCAATGTGGATGTGCCACCCCCGATTCCATCATTAACTCTTTAATTGACCATTAATCAAAGGATTAGTCTCCCCTTTTCTGTCTGTCTCTCTGTCCCCCACTCCCATTACAATTTTCATATCTTTTATCTTTTCCCATTGTTTTATACATTTTTAAATAAAATAAATACGACCGTATTAAATATCTTTTTAATATAAAAAATATTAACTTTAATTAAAGTAATTAACAAAAACGTGAACGAAAGGCTTTAGTGACCTAAGCAGCTCGTAACAATAAACAAATCCGATCCTCCACTTAACAAAAAGTCGCGCAACCTGCGTGATAAGACGTAACCAATTCTACCCGAGTTAAGGAATCGTCCAAAGCCATTTTTCTGGCATTTAACTGTGACGCCACGTGTCCCCAGATGCTGACACTTTCACCACGCGGCGGATGACCATTGCTCTACTCCTCCATTGTCTCAACCGGCCAAATGCCCAAGAACAACGATGGGGTTTTAAAGTGTTTTTTATTAAATGAAATCTTAAGAAATATTGAGAGTCGTCACTAAATATTTTAAAATATGATTAAAATATTATAATAATCGAATAATTTTAATAAAATATTTTTATTTTATAAAAATACCAAATGTATACTATTTATTATTGTTATATATATTATTGAAATTGTTTTCTTCAAAATATTTTTTAAAATTATTTCATTTTCAAAAAGGTTGTGTATATATTATAATATCATTCAAAATGTTTTTTTCTTTCTAAACTATATTATTTTCAGAAAAGGTTTTAAAAATATATATTTTAATATTATTATATACCATATATTATAATATCATTCAAAATGTTTTTTTTCTTTCTAAACTGTATTATACAAAATTTTAAAAATTATTTTAAATCATATCAATGTATCACAAATATTATTCGGACAAAATTAGAGTACGACATCCATATGTTAAGACCGCATACAATTCTCATTTCAGATCCGCAACCACCTTGAAAAGATAGGTGACAAATCCAAAACCCGAATGCAATCCCGTTTCGAGTCCGTAACCGTTGCTGGTCCTACTCCTTGACGTGGTGAGTGATAACGGCAACACAAGATATTTTACGATCATGAAGATTGGTTTTTTTTTAATAAGGGATGAAATTGTAAATTTCTTTTGTTTAAATGCGTAAATTAATACTATTTTTTTTTGAAAAATGGATTAAATCAGTGATGAAATTAGGGATTAGGTTAGATTTCAAAGGGTGGAGTTTGATCTATGGGTTAGGGGTCAAGACCGGAGATTTTAGGGACTGTCCAAAAGATGTTAAGCACAGGGCGCAGAGGTAAAGTGGGCCCCATTATCTGATTACTGTAAACTTAACAGGAAACAATATCGTGGGCTCCACTTTTCTCTGATTCGAATAGTCCATTGTCATCCTTTATTTTTCTATATATACAAAAAGTATATTTATTATTATTATTTTGGATATTTAGAGTTTTTTATTTGATATTGTTAGGGAAATAAATTGAAATGAAAATATTTTTATAACAAAATTTTATTTAAATTAATTTTTTATAAATTGATTGATGATATGAGAAAAATAATAATGTTTAGTTTTATAATTTCTTTTAAGTAAAATTATTTTGCGGTGTACAAATGAATAGAGCGTTTGATAAATTATTCGTAAGATGTTTATGTAATGTTTATTTATTTTTTCTTATTAAGTTAAATAAAATAGTAAGAACAAAAAGTTTAGGTTCATTTGATAACCAAACGAACTCGAATAAATGTATGTTCAATTTGTTTATGTAGCAAACTAGCTCATTTATTAGGCTATTTAAAAGCTCGTTTATCGGTTTGTTTATAAGTTCGTTTATTCAATTATTATTTTTTATTAATTTATGGGAATATAAAGTAGTATATATTTAAAGCTACCAATCGTTTAAAAATGAACACTCAAACTCTTTTGCAGACGTTGTTCTCGAACCTAAGACCTCAAAAAATAACAATAATTCCTTAGACCTCAAAGGGTCATTGAAGTAATGCTTCGACATGTATTAAACAATGGGTTTAATAATAAAATTATTCGCATCATTTGTATAAATAATTACTTTATCGAATTATTTATATAAAATTTTAAATATTTTATATTAAAATATCATACTAGTAGATAAAAATCGTTAATTAACTAAAATTTAACGTTTATTATTAATATAGAAAGTCCACTCGTGATGTCATATTATATAAAAAATTAATTATTTTTAAATATATTTTTATAAGTGTATATGTAATTAATTTTAATTATAGTTTACTCTAAAAATATTTTTTGTTGAAGTGACAACATATATGGACTTGTTATGTTCGTCTGAAATATTCAAGCTACTTAACTAATAATTTTCATATAATCACGAGACATTTCATTATAAAACAAAATATTTAAGGCTAAAACAGTTAAAAATAAGATAGAAAACAAAATAATAATTTATAAAAATATTGAGGGTTAGTTTTGTTATTACGCCTAAATAATTCCAAGACGTTTAAATCCATCAAACTCTTTCGTTTATTATTCAATTGTTGATTGATTTTATTTCCTTTTTTATATTTAAACCTTTAATTTAATATAAATCTGAATATAAAGTATAATTACAAACATCATTTTAAATATATAGTTGACAATTTTATAGATCAATTTATTAATTAAATGTAATTGCATACATCATCTTATTAGATGATAACATTTTAATAAAAATTAATTTATATTAAAATTAATTAAAAAATGACATGTTATTATATTATATCAGTGTTTCAGATCATATAAACTTGTTGTGGCAGCTTCGAGAATGGTCATTTTAATAAAATATAAATTTAAAAATAAATATTAAAATGAATACTCAATAAAAAAAATAAAAGTCATGTTTTAATATTATGAATTTTATAGATATATATATATATTTCATTTGAAATTTACCTGATTTAATTTATTTTCATAATTTATTATAATATTCATGTTTTAATTTACTTTCAAAATAATTTATTATATTTATGATATCAAGATCTAAATCTATAATCTTAATTATAAATAACTCAACTGCAAATATCTTTAATATTTCATTATATAATTATTTTAGCTCTTAATTAATTTTTTTAAGTTATTTTGCTTTCAAGCATTTCATATTAAAATAAAAATAGTCATAATATTTAATTAAATTATCACTTTAAATTATATTATTTGTTTTAAAACATTTTACTCCATAAAATATTTACTTTATAAAAAACAATTCATATTTAAAATGTTATCCATTTATATACGCATATACTAAGAGTTGATAAAAGATACGAGTTAATTATATCATATATATATTCAAATTATAATTTTTATTTTAAGTTAGTTCTTAAAATTTTAAATATTTTAATTTAATTATAAAATTGCGATTCTTATTTTAAATTAATCATTAAACTTTTAGATCTTCTAATTTTATCCATAAACTATTACACTCTTTTTAAATTACTTCCCAAACATTTGTATATTATAATTTCTCCCCAGTTTTGTCCAAATATATAAATAGTTATAGCACGAACCAACTTACATCAATAATTAAAGGAATCATTGTTATTCTTAAGAGTCAAGGGTTCGAGCACCAGTAACTGTAGCAGGGTGATTAAGCGTTAATCGTCAAATGATTAAGGGTGCGTTTGGTTCACGGAATGTAAGATTATCAGTGGGATTAAAAGATTACCAGAGAATATGATTATTGGGAATGTTATATTTTGTATTTGGTTGGTTTAGCATGAATGTAAGATTACCGTGTTTGGATAAAGGAATAAAATATTATTGGAATGTATATTTGACCAAATTATCCTTATTATATATTTGTATAATATTACAAGTTGAAAAATATTTATATATTTTCTTTAAAAAATTAAATTCAAAATATTTATATAATTTTTTTTACAAAATTAAAAATATAAAAAAAGTTTAATGAAAGGGTAAAATTTTATTTTAATCCCTGAACTTCATATAAAATTTTAATTATATACTTTTTTTGTAAATCTAAAATAATTTAAGGATAAATTTGTAATTTAACCTTCGTAGAATTTTTATTATTCAATGACAGAAGAATGATATTTTTGAAAAAAAATAAAAATTTAAGGGCATTTTAGTCCAAAATGCTAGTAATATTACAATACCTAAGGGAATGGAGGTAATGACATTCCCGGTAATATACCCCAAAAAATCTACTATTGATAATAAAACATTACTGGGAATGACATTCCCGGCCAAACCAAACGGGGGAATATGGATTCCATTCCCGGGGAAATCTCACATTCCCCCATCCAAACGCCTCCTAAATGTATTTAGAACATATAATACTCTGTAATCACCTTAATTTAATAAAAAATATAATTAGTTACAACCATAGTTTATCATAAATTTTATTTTTTTCAAACATATAAAAATATAAATTAACTTAACGATTTTATTAAAATAAATATGATTTGAGATAAAATTAGAGCATTCAAAAAAGTTTTCGAATTGATTTGAGATGTGATAAATATATACGTATAATAGATGTATAAGTTGCTAAGTTGCACCGGGAGGGTGCTAACTACGCACAGCCTACCCTAAATGAAAGCCCAAGCCCTAGATAAGCTAGCTACCAAACCTGCCAGTTAATGGCACGACAAACCCCAATCCTCCCCCGTAAAAACATAACTTTAACGTCTGGACAAACGCCGTTACACCCCAATCCCCTGTCCTCCAATCCCCGACTCGAAGGAAAAGCCACGGGTAAACCAAAGGGGCCAGCCGCCTTTATTTAACTAACCCATGGAATTTTCTTTTTCTTTATTTTTTATCATTTAATTAAAAGTTAAATTATTATAAATTTATAATTTCAATCTGCCTGCCTCTCGTATCTGGTCCCCCCGATACCCATTCCCTACCTCAATAAGTCCACCGGGAGTATCTGGTACCGTAAGAGGAAGCCGGACCGGTTAATGCCGGTTCACGATTTTCAGTTGGGTTAAAAATTGACCCTGGTTTAAATTATTGTCCTTTCCCTTCCACAGTTTCGACTCACCCGTGGTTAAGTCTCTCGACCCCTCATTCGACGCAGACAGACACAGACAAGAGAGAGAGAGAGAGAGAGAGAGAGAGAGACTTTTTATTTTTCCTTTTCTTTGGTTTCTTATTTTTCATCTGCTGCTGCATTGAAGGTGGAGGAGAAGCAGATAGAGAGGCTGAGGTTTTGTTTTGCAGAAGTGGAAGATTGAAAGCGACTATAGATAGTAAAAAGGTGGATTTTCATTTATTGGTGCTAAAATCGATAAGATTGTTTGATGAACTGGGGCAAATATAGGCCGGTGGTAATTTAATTTCGTCAGGTTTCATCAAAGTTGCAGCGGAAGAGAGTGTTTTAACGACGGCGTTTGCTGGTAGATTGTTTGGAAACTTGGGTTGGGTTTTCAGTTTTCGTTTGAGGAGTTTGAGAGTGTAGCAAATGAGAGATCTGAGCTGAAGATTTTTAAAAAAATGACTACTTCGGAGGTATTGATAAAAGGTAATTGTGTTAACGGAAGAGATAGTTTTTCTTCGGGTTATACTGAGCAAAATGATGCTAGGAACGCCGTGGAAGGGCAGAACGGTCACTCCGCTCGTTCAGCCGCCGTCAGGGGTATAATCCCTTTCTTCCTTTTAATTTCCGGTTCCGGTTTCCTTTACTTCATTGTTTTTGTTCTCGAGTTCTCTCTCTCTCTCTCTCTCTTCTGGTCTTTGCCGGTTTAATATTGATTTGGTTTCTATGTTGGAACATAGATCCGGAAACGGCGTTGTATACGGAGCTCTGGCATGCATGTGCTGGACCTCTGGTGACGGTTCCCCACGAAGGGGAGCGCGTGTTCTACTTCCCTCAAGGTCACATAGAACAGGTTGAGGCGTCTACTAATCAGGCATCGGACCAACAGATGCCACGGTATAATCTTCCATCAAAGATCCTTTGTCGTGTGATTAACGTGCAGTTAAAGGTACCTTGCGCCTCTTTTATTGTGATTTGTTTTCTTCTTCTGGTTTTTGTTTTAATGATGAGATAAAACAACTCTTTGTTGTTAGGCTGAATCAGATACGGATGAGGTTTTTGCGCAAGTGACTTTACTTCCGGAACCGAATGTAAGTTTTGGTCTTTCTTGCTTTAGATTATAAGTTGAAGAAGAGTTGAGTTTCTAAATTTGTTCTTTCTTTCTTTGCTATATGTGATGTTTATAGCAAGATGAGAACATGGTGGAGAAGGAGTCTCCCATTCCTGAACCCCCTCGGTTCCAAGTGCATTCCTTTTGCAAGACCCTAACGGCTTCCGATACTAGCACCCATGGCGGGTTTTCGGTGTTCAGACGGCATGCCGATGAATGTCTCCCACCATTGGTTTGTTTCTATCTGCTGAAGATTTCTAGCTTCTGTTGTTTTTCCACTATGTTATTTTGATAATTTGGTTTGTGATTCTTTTGGACTTGTTCTTTGACAGGACATGTCACTGCAACCTCCAACACAGGAGTTGGTTACTAAGGATTTGCATGGAAACGAGTGGCGATTCCGTCATATCTTCAGGGGTAATTCTTTAAGCCTAATTGGTTTCCTGCATTGTAAATAACGGTCATTGCAATCGAGGGAGATAAATTCAAATTGTGACATTTGACTTTTTATTACCCGGTTATGTTCTGTTTACCGGTTGAATCTTGAGTGTAAAACCCCCTTTGTTTACAATTTGGTTCTTCTGCGAAAATACCAGGTCAGCCACGGAGACACTTGCTTCAAAGTGGTTGGAGTGTTTTTGTTAGCTCCAAGAAGCTTGTTTCTCGGGATGCATTTATATTTTTAAGGTTTGGTTCCTCAAATGTGCCATGAAATATGATGTTTTACCATTGAATTCTTTTCTCGTGAAAATGACATGTATTTCATAGGGGTGAGAATGGAGAACTACGTGTCGGTGTACGACGAGCATTGAGGCAGCAGTGCAATGTTCCTACGTCAGTAATATCAAGTCACAGCATGCGTCTCGGTGTTCTTGCTACAGCATGGCACGCCTACACAACAAGAACCATATTCACTGTGTATTACAAACCTAGGTTCGTTGATCAAGCTACCATTTTGACAAGCTGTGTAATTTTTTGTTGTGTGACATGTTTAATATCTCAAAATTGATTACCGGGTGATAAAACTTCAACTGTGGCAATTCTGTTTAAGCTTGTCTATTTTCTCTTATAGGACAAGTCCAGCCGAATTTATTGTTCCGTTTGATAAGTACATGGAGTCTGTAAAGAACAATTACTCAATAGGGATGAGGTTCAAAATGAGATTTGAAGGTGAAGAATCTCCCGAGCAGAGGTATGGCACGTTTCTTCCTTGCTACATTGAAGCCGTTGTTCATTAAGTTCATGGGTATGAGTTTTTCCAACATGATATGACTAGCTGAGATTATGCTCTTCAAATTTTTGTATTGCAGGTTTACTGGAACGATAGTTGGAATTGAAGATTCTGATCCAAAAGGATGGCAGGATTCCAAATGGCGATGCCTCAAGGTATACTTATTTAATTTGACAATTGTTTGATATTTTTAAGAATAATGGAAGAAATTGTAGTATTTCTCAAGTTATGGGTATTATTTAACTATGTTTTAATCACTCTTGTAGGTGCGGTGGGATGAGACATCTGCCATACCTCGTCCCGAGAGAGTTTCGCCATGGAAAATTGAACAACCTTCAACTCCGCCTGTCCTGAATCCCCTTCCAATGCAGAGGCCAAAAAGGCCGCGGTCTGTGGCTGTATCATCATCCCCTGATTCTTCTGTGCTTACTAGGGAAGGTAGTTTTATAAGTCATGTTTCATGCAATGGGTTTGTATTTCATGTAACTTTTTTGGGAAAGATCTACTGACCAAATTCACTTTTAGGTTCATCCAAGGTTAATGCAGACCCTTTACAAGCCAGTGCATTTTCAAGGGTCTTGCAAGGTCAAGAATTCTCGACCTTGAGAGGAACATTTGCTGAGAGTAACAAGTCTGACACTGCTGAAATGTCGGTGATGTGGCCACCTTCAGCAAATGATGAGAAGAATGATGTCCCTGGTGAAAGAAAATTTGTGTCAGAGAATTGGATGTCCTCTGGGAGGGGTGAACCAACATACACAGATCTGCTCTCAGGTTTTGGGTCAAATGTTGATTCATATCGTGGATATCGCCTCCCCTTGGTTGATCAATCTTCAATGCCTGGTAATTCAATGGGAAAACATTTACTAAATCAAGAAGCAAAGCTTGGCTCTTTGTCCCTCGCGCAATCGGGTCTCTCACTCAAGTTAGCTGACACTAGTGTAAACCCACCTTTGCAAGATTCTGGTGTGCCTTATCAATCACAAGGAAGTGGTAGATTTAGTGGTTTTGGTGATTACCCTGTACTTGAAGGTCGTAGGATTGAGCACTCACATGGTAATCGGTTGATGCCTCCTCACCCAACCTCATCTTATTATGAGAATTCAGTCCATGCAAGAGATTTGATGCCCAAAACATCATTTGTTCGAGAACCTAGTGCGAAGTCTAGAGAAGGAAATTGCAAGCTCTTCGGTATCCCTCTCATAAGTAATTCTAGTGCATCAGATCCAGCAGTCTCTCACGTTAATGCCTTCAATAAGCCAGTTAGTAATGTGCAAGCTGGATTGCACCAAGTTCATTCATTCGAATCTGATCAGAAGTCTATAAAGTCGAAGACCTCGCAGTTGGCAGCGGAGAGTCGTACTGCTTTTAATGAGCAGGAGAAAGTATTTCCGCTGGGTCAACCCCATACAATGGAGGTTCAAATCAAACCATCCAGTTCAACTAGGAGTTGTACTAAGGTTCGTTCTCTTCGTTTATGATTGTTTAAGCTTGCTGTTATGATATCTGCTGTGGACTTGCTCAAGTATTTTCTATTTTCAGGTTCTCATGCAGGGAAATTCTCTGGGTAGGTCTGTAGACCTTACTAAGTTCAACAGCTACGATGAATTGATCGCTGAATTGGATCAATTATTTGAGTTTGGAGGTGAATTAATGGCCCTTCAAAAGAATTGGCTAGTTGTTTATACCGACAATGAGGGTGATATGATGCTTGTAGGCGATGATCCCTGGCAGTAAGTATTTCTTGCATCATCTTTCCAATTTATTCACTCGCACGTTTTGTGGTATATACATCATCTGATTATTGCTTGTTCATTAGGGAGTTTTGTGCCATGGTTCGCAAGATTGGTATCTACACTAGAGAGGAGGTCCAGAAGATGAAGCCACGGTCGTTGAGTTTAAAGGTGAACGATCAACCAGTTCCTGCAGAAGGCGTTGACGCAAAAGAAGTGCAATGCCCATCAGCATCTAGTGCTAAGAATTGATTAACCTCACTGTAATGGTATTAAAGTACTGTAACCTTGTTTTGAATATGATGTCTAAAATCTATCTACATAGTAAACTTGTTTGTTTATACTTGTTTCAGGTTTTTGGTGAAGGAATCTGGAGTTGCAATAGTGACATTCCTGCTGGTTAGAACATGAACTTACTAAAGTTGGAACTTATTAGTAGCATGAGTTTGCCACGATAATCGTAATCCGATATAGTCGGCATGAATGCTTTGATCCGATTCTGGATATGTTGTGGAGTTGGTAGCGGTATGGTATTGTCTTTATGTTGCATAAATATGTACACCCGAATCTGAAGCTTCATGCTTTTGCTACCTACCTACACCTTGTACAAAGATGTTTCAACCCACCTTTGGTCTTTTTCAAGCTGTGGATGTAATTAAGTTAATACAGCCATCTCTAATGTCTTTTCAATTAAAGGATGAAAAACATGAATCTCAAGTAATGCTACTCTCTGTTTGCTTCTTAGCCAGATCCATTGTATGGAGTAAACTGCTTGGTAAGCAGGGCAATCCATTTTTGACTATGACATCAATGGTGGAATTCTTGTGTCAGTGGTGTGGTCGGTCGACTAGTGGTGTTGGGTTTTGAATAAATAATTTTTTTCTTACTGGTAAATAATGATAACTTCTCATGGTCTGAATCTGACATTAATATTATCTCGTTTCTTCCATTAACTAGGTCGGATCAAATCACATCAGACCAGGACCCATGCATTGGAAATATAATATTGATAATGATAATAATAGTAGAGCTGTCAATGGTATTTACACGCAAGTTTATAGTGGGAAAAAAGGTTTACACTTGCCAAGTTAAGTTGTTTTTCACCAACAGGCAAGGGTTCATGCATGTAAAAAAAAAACCAGGTCTATGCCAACAGACGAAAACTTTCAGAACTTAAAATAGAATGGCACGGCAATGATACTGCAGGCTCATGGTTATAAAGATGTACACCTTTCCTAGGGTATTCTTGAATGGAAATCTTAAAGGGTGAAGTATACAAATGGTCCCAGGCTGAAGGGAATTGTTTTGCTTAGTTTTATGCCTATTAAAATTTATAAAACGATCATTTGATTGAGTTCTTTAACTATTAAAAGTTATAAAATAACTACTTGATTATTTATATGTTTCAAACTCTCTTTTTTTGTTAAAACTATTACGATCGTCTGAGTTGGATGTTAATATGTTGATTGTGATATGATGGTCGTTTGAGATTGATATTAGATTTTATCATATCTCAATTAGTCTAGTGATCATTTTGTAACTTTTAATAGTCGGGAGACTCAACAAAATAGTGTCATATAATCGAGGGATCATTTTATAATTTTTAATAGTCAGGAGACTCAATAAAGTAGTGTTATATAGTCAGGGTACTATTTGTATATTTTACCCAATTTTAAAATACAACTATTTAATAATGTAAGGTTAAAAATTGGCCTACATCGATGTAGTATTTGTGCAAATTCTCTTTTAATCATTGACAACATACACGTATCTAAGATCTCAATGGAAAATAAACTTACTTTAACCTCAAGTCACTTGATACGTTAGGAAAACCTTACTCTCATTGATCACGGTCTTGATTATTTTACGATCAAATTCCATGAAGATTCTGTTGGTAGCTGCCCTCTTCATATTCATGTTTCTCACTCGAATGGGGGATCCTTCACATGATGTTCTGCCCCATATTTTTTTTATTTACGAATGTTCTCTTTTAACCAAAACAGAAAAGCAGCAGTCATGAGAAGCTCATCATAATTAAACCCAGAAATCCATTCAAAGATATTCTAAAAAAAAAAACTGAAAAAGGAAAACAAGTTAAATTCTTCCAAAAGTTCCAGTTAATGGCGAGTTTCCCACCGGTTCAAATTATCATAGAAGCTCTTATGTTGTTCTCCCTGCTATAACCATTTGATATTTTCTCGGCACAATCGACTTGTAAACGCTTTGTTCGTTATTGTTCGGATAGAGTAGCTGAAGAACCCTAAATCATGTTGGGGTAGCCAGCTGAATCCAAAAGTACAGCTTTGATCTGCTCGGGATGGATGTCCTGCCCTTCCTTGCATTGCTGGGAAATATGAAGAACACAACAATGAAAATGCAGAAACCAAAAGAAAACATGAAACTAAAAACAAAATGCAAGATTGAAATAAGAATATGAGCATGCTGAGAGCGAGCATCCGATATAGACGTGTTCAGTTTTTTCAAAGGTTTTGCCATGTACTTGAGGGACTTGGAGGATGATCATATTATTCATATCGTAATATGTATTGGATTGGTTGTCGCATACCAGTATTGCAGCGAAAAAGAAGACTCGAAGCAATACATGGTTCAGGATTTTCATGCTGTTGTTTTAATCCAGCTTGTTTAAAAGCAAATGATAAGTTTAGGATGGTCAGAGATTTGTACCTCGGCTCGAAAGATATCCATAGCGAAGCCATTGAAACAGCTAATGACTGCTTGCTGGATGTCTAGCCCGAGGCCGTCCAAAGCCCTCATTGTGGATAGCAAAAGACCCGGTCTCCGCCCACAAAACATGTGGATGTTTACAGCTTTTCCTTCTCTCAGCCTCACTTCAACCTACATAAACATGCATATATATTATGTACACATCAAATGGTGCTCAAGCATGCCGGAATCCATTATGCACTAATGGTATACGATAAGAGAAAAGCAAAGACATCTTTTTACCCTTGCTGGCTGCCCGTTAGGACTCGGTAATGAACTGGGGCAAAGTTCGTCCTTGATACGACAGGGCAAGGTAGCCGGAGTAGGAGTCAAAGGATGGAAACTGGTTGTAGGTGTGAGCGAAGAGCTACCAGGGTTCGACTCCAATTCGTTATGCAGATCATTGATCCTTTGAAGAAGCTCCTTCAGGTACTCGATGGCATCCCCGAGAATAGATGCTCTATCCATCTATTAGTAGAAAGGATTATGTTAAATCATACAATTCCTAAGAAGCAAAAACCGAGAATATGAAACTCCAAAAACTCTTCCATTGCAAGCTACTAAACACCCCCGAACAATTCGAACATAAAAAACAAGCAACCATCAAAAGATAAGGAAAGAGAACCGAGAGTGCGGCACAGAACATGAATCTGTAGCTTCTACGCCTGTAACTATGCTGCTGTTGCTGCACTTATTGATGGCTTAAAGGAAATTACTTCTCGAATCGGGTCCGAAGACTTATGGCGACATTTAAAGCACTCTTACCAGGCTTCATGTGAGAGACATTAATGCAACTTTCTGTTAAGTATTTTGGGGGGAACATGTAAAAGCAAAAGATACCATTCATTCACATAATACACAAATACCACACCATGAAAACAAACAAACAAGTTTGCATATCTGATGTTTCAAAAGATCTAAAACAACACAACAATTCATACTTGCATTCACGAGACATAAATGAAAACGAAAGTGAAAGGAACATTCTTACTTTGCTAATCTTCGGGACAACCGACCGCAGCATGTAAAGCCTATCATTGAGTTTCTTCCGACGGCGCCTCTCGGCCATCAAGTTTTTAGCAGGAAGCCCTTTCTTTTTACCCTTTTGATCTCCTCCGTTGACAGCACCGTTTGCATTCGAGGTGCTCCCACCATTTTTGAGAGTTTCCTCAGCCTTGTTATTCTCAGTAAACTCATCTGAATCATAATTGAAAGCTGACCCATCAATGCTTATATCTTCTAAATCATCTCTATTGCTAAATGTCTTCTTTTCATTCTCTTTATCCATTTCTTTCTTCCCTCTATCCCCCTCGGTTCCACTCGAAGCATTTAACTTTCCTCCGCCCAAAACGGCGAAATTCGCACCATTATCAGCCAAATTCTTCCTCAAAGCTGCCCTTTTCTGGAACAGAGTCGGCTGAGCTCCGACCGAAGGAAAGCTATCCAGCGGTCTTAGCAACTTAGACCTATTTATAAACAGAGAATTCCCAGGATTCTCAACAAATCCTTGAAAACCAGAGAACCCGGAATCCGAGAAGTGAGTCTCGGGGCACGAATTATCAGTGTCTATCTGATTACCAGAGGTTAAATCAGTGAAACCACCCAAAACCCCTGAATTTTTCCTGTTCAATAAAGGACTAGCATTTGTTGCTTGGTTGTCAAGGAACCCAATTTCAGCCAAATCAAACCCGTGATCTAAAGGGATATTGGAAACGACATTGAGGAGTGAAGACAAGCCTGGTTTTGGCTGCAGAAAGAACTGTACCTGGGATGGGTCGAGATTGTTGAAAACAGAGGAAGATGGCGAACAAGAAGAGGAAGAATCCACTGGATGCTGCTGCTCCTGCTGCTTCTGGTGGTTTTGATGATGATGGTGCAACAAGAGATTGTTTTGATGGCCACCGAGATTTGGTGGAAACGAAAGGTCCCTGATATCATGGTGATGGCTTGAAATACTGGTGTTTGGAACGTACCATTCATCTTCTAACATGGATTTGAACGAAGACAAAGAACCCATCATTTCTTTGTTCTCCATTACAACACTACTGTTGTTGTTGTTGTTAGTGTTGGTTCTGGCCCAAGAAGCTGAGTGTTGCTCATCTCCTTTATCTTCCGTCCAAATGACACCGCTGTTCGACCTTGAAAGCATGGTTTTTGGACAACTCTTTGTTCCACAGAAACAACAAAAAAACTTGTTTTTTTCTCCTCCTCCTTTTATCGTCTTTGTTGGGACAGTGAGAGAAGCAAGCTAAGTTTGTTTTGTCGAGCTTGAGAGGTTACGGACTTAAATAAAAAAGCAGCTTTGAAGGAGGGGGAGAGAGAGGAGAGCGAAGAAGAAATCTTTTAGATTGAATTACAAGTAGGAAAAAAATTGATGTTTTTATATATTTATTGGATTAAATATAGTATGATTTTTTAATAATTAGTACTAGTAATTTATTAATAAAAAATATGGTTAAAAAATAATTTTTATTTATAAAACAGGTATTATAATATTTATGTCAACGTCAGAAAATAAATAATTTGCATGGAAGGGGCTCCCAAGGATCTCGTGATAACCTTTCATTTTCCTGGATCATTTTGATACCTTCATAGTCACCCACCTCTGTCCCTTCTCTCTGTTTCCAGTCCTTTTCAGGTAATTTTTCTCTCAATTTATACCAAAAATCACCCACAGACAAATCAGACAACGTATCAAATTTATGTGTAATAGAGGCTGCCTGTAGGCGAGAGAGAGGATCCGAAGAGAGGAAGGACTAAAATTAGAATTAGACCAAAAAATTGAGAGCCACGAATCTCTCTCATGCCCTTAATAATGTTAGGGTAAATTATGCGTTTAGTATATAAACTATTAGTTTTGGTTTATTTTATTACCTAAACATTTAACTTTTTCAAAATTATACATAAAGTTTAATTTTTATTTCATTTTAGTACCCCATTCAAAATTTAATGTGTGATACAGTTAACTTTAATTAATATTTTTAAATATATTATATAAATTTAGATAATTTTATTTATTTTTTTACTATATTTGTATAGAATAGGAAGGGTGAGGGAACATCTTAAATAAGTTGCAGAAAGGCTGGGTTTTGGGTATGGTTAATGAATGGAGTGTCTTTAATATTGTTGGACCAAACCCGTGAGCATAGGGAAAATGAATTTACCCTTCAAATTGGGTTTACTTTTTATCCAAATCTTTGACGTAAAACAAGTTGCCAGAATGATTGAGTTAAACATTTAATGAAGTTCACATTGCTCTCGGCAAACTTCCGATTCTAAGATTACGTCTTAAATAATTTGGACTAATACGTGTCATTGCACACTTACATTTAGTATGTGAGTCTTCCGGCAAGAATTTTCTATATAAAGAATCGAACTGAGATTTTACTCAAACGATAACAAATTACTTATCGCTTGAATCAATCAGTTGGTTTCTTTTTTCTTTCTTTTTATTATTCTATTTGGCTTTTATTCATTAATTTCATCTTTTTATTCTATGTAAATCATATTAATAATTTATGGAAAAAAACTATAAAGTTATTCTATTTGACACGACAGATTCCCATGAATCTGATTTTTTTTTTATTCAGAAAACTTCTGGGAGAGGCTTCCCTTCAAGGAATGACTTAAACAACATAATTGATCTCTCAGGCTGTGAGAATGGAGCTTCATGAGAAGCCCCTCTGTTGTTTGTTGCAAATGACAGGATGTTGTCATAAACTTGAGTCCACCCACCAACCTGAATATCAGAAACACGAGTTTCGAATACGAATACTTCGATCGAGAAAAAATAAATGAAGATTCGAAGCGATATCGATGAAAGTACCTGCTTCCCTTCGAACCAAACTCGGTATGGCACGATTGTTTCGAGTCCTAACTCCTTAGCCAGTCAACTTGCCAGAGAGTGGCTTCCGGTCAATGGGATAACAGAATCTTGATCTCCACTGTAGGATTAAACGAGTTTATATAAGCTGACATGCCTCGATGGATGATGATGTTGTTATGGCTATACATAGCATTGTGATTTCGGTTTCGTTACCTGTTAACTAAGACCGGTATTCCGGCCTTGATTAGTGAACCGACGATGGATATCGTAGGGATCTCCAGGTTCAGCAGCTGATAATCGAGTATGCTGTCAACAGCAAATAAAATCATGTTGGTCATGTTCGATGCGTGTTCGTGCATATAAACTTTCTTATATTGCAGTGTATGTTCAGCTCGATCAAGAATTAGTACTTGCTGCATACTATCCATCTTCGAACCCCAACCAGCCGAGCATGAAGAGCTTTCCGGACATCTTTCCGGTTTAGATAATTCACGATCTTTTCTTTGACGCATACGTCTATCCTTTCAGATACTTGCTGTAAGGTAAAACAAACGATATCATATGCAATATAATCCAATTGGTTTCACAGGGAAAGAGTTCTTTACCAGAGGATTTATAGCCATTGATTGTGAGAGCACCGATGATATGCAGACATCAAGTGGTTCATCATATTTGTCCACGAATTTACTGGTTTCTCGGCTTACTTGGCTCATCACCTCCGAACAAGACGATGAAACCGAGTCCCTATAGTACTTGCTGACATATCGAGAATAGTTGCAGACCAAGGTGAACATTTTGTAGGTCGAATCTGATATCAGCCCATGGGACCAGAAGTATTCTGCTCTTGAATTGAAATCAGTTGCGAATTCCATAACCGGATTATCGAGCTGCCGATTACAAAATTGTTCCCTCAGATACAAAACATAAACATGACTTGGATTCGAGTAATGAAAAGATCGAGATCTGGTCATCGACCCGCATTCGAGTACTGCAAATTTGAATTGAACATAGTATTATACTCACAGCAATTCCTTTAAAATTGAACAGATTCTGCTTCATGTTGAATTCAACCATAAGTTTTGCAAGTTGAGGAATATAATGACCTGATATGATCAGTAAGTTAGCAGTTCATATAAGACTCGTTCATCATTTGCATCAAATTTACAGTACCTGCATAGCTTTCTCCTGTTATATACAAATCCCTGTGCCTGTAATTTGGAAATTTCTTGTACCAGTTCTTCAAGAACACAAGATTGTCCCTGGCTTGAAAAAAATCAAAGATCAAAACATCAACTTTAAAAAACAAAGAATCACTCTTTAATGCTTGGAAAAAAAACCCAGAAAGAAAAATCAAAGAAATGTGAAATACCAGTGATCTCATCATCCACTGTTACATAAGAAGAGCTGTTGGTGGCATAAAAGAACCCTACTCCTATTGGTGTCTCTAAATATAACATATTAGCTTCTGCAAATGATGAAAAATTTTCAGTTCATTAATCAGCATTAGGGATCAAATAATACAAAAAAATCTCTGTTCTAGCTGTGATAATTTCTTACTAGAACCTCTCCATTTGGTTTAAAAGGTCCATTTTCAGAGAATGCCCCAACTCCAAGTGAAGAACAGCCAGGCCCTGAAGGGAAAACAAAGTGATAATAAGCATAAAAAAACCCTGAATTTTGCATCACTCAGTTTCAGCTTTGAAGAAGAAGCAAACCTCCATTCAACCAAAGGACTAAAGGCTTTGAAGCAGGATCAGTTTCGGCTTCAACAAAGTAGTAAAACAGGGCTTTATGCTTCTTGTAATCCACAGTAACATACCCAGAGAACTTTTGGAATCTCAAATTAGAGGGTTGCCTGGAAGCCAAACGATTCTATCAGCTGAAAATGATTCAATCTCCATGACAAAACACAGCTCCAGCAATATAACCAAAGCAATAGACATGTTTTTCCGTGATAGAGAACACATTTCTCTACCAAATCAAGAGTGAAGAACTGAACCCAAGAGAGTGTTTTCAGAATGCAGGTCAGTGGAGGCTGTAGGGGTACTTAATAAATCAAGACTTTTTTTTTTGGCTCCAAAGGCATGGAAATGGTGTTGAAAGAGATTAATGAGACTCGGCCGAGTCAGCAACATGATAACACAGGTTAGAAAGAGAAAAGAGAAAGGAATCTGGGACCTAAACCAGAGAGCCTGCCTTTAGTTCTCAGTATGTTGCTTTTGTCTTTTACTGCAATTTTTTTCTTTTTAAAATCTAGAATTGAACCAGCCAAAAAGATGCTTAAAATTACACTGTGTATATCCCTTTTGACTAGGAGGAAAACAAAACAGAAGAAGAGCACGTTCCTTGGAAAGTGGCTTTAGAGGCATAACTGTCCGATATGCAAATAGGGATTAATCATCAAGTTTAGCTAAAACAAACCCCAGTTCTTAACGTTCTTCAGAGTTCCAATTCCAACAGTGAATATTCCCTTTTTTTTTTACAGTGAATTGATGGATTGATCAACTTTTCTTCATCTAAAAGTACAAACCCAGATTTTATTTTTTCTGGTTTTCTGCAGATTGAGAGATATAGTTGCATTAACATGACTTTAATCAAGTCTATGTGGTCTACTTTTCAATTTTTTCCCACATTTTTTAACCTTTTTATCAGGCAGTGCTCACACACCACATGTTTTTCCCATTACAGCTTCAGAACAGCTTATCATGACTTCCAAGGAGGACCCTTTCTCTCAACAGTAACCGCATCTGAAATGATCCAATATGGTGTGTACTTGTATCTAGGTTTATATATATATACATTGTTAATTCTTTGTTTGGGTTATATGTAGGGACGAAAATTGAGAGAAACGGATGTGAACAAACCCCAAAAAACAAACAGGACTTCCATCTCTTGTTTCATGTTTGCTGCTCATTGTAGAAGGAACTTGAGCCCAGCTTTTGTTCCGAAGACAATGATTTCCCCTTTTCAAACCAGCTTTTGATCCCACTAAAAAACTCACTACCTATTAAACAATTATCCACTAAAAATTCACTACCCATTAAATAAAATCTCACTAAAAAACTCACTACCTATTATTTTAAATCATACACTACACTAAAATTCATCATAAAAATCAAATAGAAGAATGAGGAGCATACGAGAGAGAGAAGAATTGAAGAGAAAAAAGAGAAAAAGACATTTCTTGTATTCTGCTGAATTTTCGTTGGCGATCAGGATGTCCGATCAACGTTACGAACGGTGAAAAGTTAGGCAAGACCAACATGAACAATATACTGAAAAAGCAGGACGATCGGACGGTGGACATCGTCGGATTGAAGAAAATAAATTCGAACGGTTTTTGGCCTCTTTATGGAGATCGGAATCTCCGATCAACGTTACGAACGGTGAAAAGTTGCACAAGGTCAACACGAACAACATACTGAAAAATCAGAACGATCAGACAGTGGACAACGGCGGAAGAAAAAATAAATCCGAACGGTTATTACCA